AGGGAGGGAGACACACACACACACACACACACACACACACACGCACACACACACACACACACACACACACAAACCAAGAAAAAAAAAGCATTTTATATGCACAAAAAACCAGTTCAATCACACAATGACGAACTTTCTCAGCCATGGGGCTTACATTAGTTCTATACACACAAGGATAGCAGTGACAACAAGACACAGCAGCACCTGCTTACACTCTCCATCTAAGACTTTAACAAAGCACCCAGGGACCAGATACATGAACGTCTTTACACATCTCTGCGTAGTGTATACTGTAATGTATCATCTCTACCCCCCCCCTCCCCGAACACAAATACACACCTCCCTCCTCATTTTTTCTTCTTTTTTTAGCATTACAGTCCTCGAAGCTACAGATCTATGTCTTTTTTGTTGTTGTTGTTTTAGTAAGAGTTTTATGGCACTTGTAACACAATAAGGTCATATTATAATTTTAAGTGCCGAAGATTAGAGGTGTACAAGAGAGTCACAAGCACTAAAAGAAGGATGAGAGATAAGGATGATAAAGATCAGGATTAAAGGAAAGAAGGAGTAAACCACACCAGAGCACCCGCCAACCATCAACGATCTATGTCTAGTAGGTTGTCAACTCACTAAAAACGAAAAGCCAAAAAAACAACACATTATTATTCTTCCTTAGCACTCCTACCTTCTCAGCCACTAAGAGATCAAACTTGAGAACACAGGCTACTCGGATAGAGAGCACGGCACAAAGAACTTGACACTTGCATTCCGATTGTCCACCCGGAAAGAAGATACTCAAAAACTGACCAAAAACGCCACGAGACTGACAACACAACAAGACGCCTGTCGCGGGAAGAAACATCAGTAACCCACTCACGTTTCGGCATGGGGGGAATCCTCGGCGGCTTTCTGCGATTCGTGTCGTCTGCTGGCGGTGGCGGGAGTGTGTAGGCCTGGAGTTATCCCCAGACTGACCATCTCAGCGTCGAGAGCGGTAGAGAGTTGTTGGCGTCACGTGCAATCACATCCTCTATTGATCTGCGACTCACAGAGCCGGGGAACGTTGAGGCGGTTCTCCCCCCTTACTGCTTCTGCAACAGCTTTGTTTGATCAGAGTTTTTACAGCTTCAAGATCAGATTTTTACAGCTTCTGTTACACTAGTGGTAGATCAGAGTTTTACAGCTTCTAGATCAGAGTTTTATGGCTTCTAGATGAGATATTTACAGCTTCTCTTACACTGGTGGTAGATCAGAGTTTTACAGCTGACAACTTTTTGTTCAGAGTCTGACAGCTTCTAGATCAGAGTTTTACAGCTTCTGTTACTCTGGTGGTAAATCAGAGATTATCAGTTTCTGTTACAACGTCGTTAGATCAGTTTTATGTCTATACTGTTGGTTAAACAGGGTTTTACAGATTCTGTTACACTGGTGGTAGACCAACAGAGTCATTTGATCAGTAGAGTTTTACATCTTCTGTAACAGCGTCTTTAGATAGTAGTTTGACACCATTCACTAGCTGATTTGAATGTGTTCCAGCTATTTTTAATACTTTCCATCATCAGCATAGTTGTTTTGGTGGGGGGGGGGTTTGGTTGTTGTTTGTTTTTTGTTGTTGTTTTTTGTTGTTGTTTTTGTTGTGTGTGGGGGTTTTTTGGGGAGGTATGTAGGAGCTTTAGGCGCCATCGACACAATTTAGATCATTTAGGAGGCGGGCTTCTGTCTCTACCTGTCAAGACCAACCCGGGCTATATCCTTTTACAGCATCCCCGCAAAAAGACCGAAATACTCTCCCCTCTCCCCATTCAGCATTCAAATCTGAGTCTCCTGCGTGCTACAGCGAAGCATCTCATTACACCTCAGACGAAGGTCTTCAGCATAGAGTGAGTGGGATAAAGTAAGGGAAGATAGAGAGTTTTATTTCTGCTGAAACAGGCTAATGGAGAGATAAAAGTGAATGTGGATATTGCATGATAATCGACGTTTATTTTCAACTCAAGCGCCCCCCCGTCTCTCTCTCTCTCTCTCTCTCTCTCTCTCTCTCTCTCTCTCTCTCTCTCT